AGCAACGTTGCAGGAGTTGACAGAATGACACGAACTGCCTCCAGGACTCTGGCTCCGGATTTTGCCTCGAAGTTAACCCTTGAAGCCTTTCCCATCAGTGGATACAGCCAAAAGTCAGTGAAGGTTTGAAATCGGAGTTTTCCTTCTCCTTCTCCGGGTAGGTGGGTCTCATCAGCCTTGGATGGCAGCCCATCTAGGAGAAGGGCTATATATAAATTAAATAAATAAAACTAATAAATATTTAAGGTAGCACAAATATTTCTTTTACTTTTCCTTAGAGGCCTGCTTCTCTTCTCTGGTACCACGTAAGCTTCCATCTTTTCTCTCACACACCTGTTATTCCTACCTCAGTTCTTCTGTGGCTTTCTCTGTGTTTGTGCTTATGTTTGTGTTTGTTTTAATGACTGGTACACCCTAAAACCAGTTCCATCTCAAAATTAATTCCACTGACAACTTTTTTCTGTACATTCATGAGTTCTGTAATACTTACTATAGCTAATTTTTTAAATAAATTTTTTGTTTGTTAGTTAAACTCACTTTCTCACTTGGTCACAATTCCTCAGAATAACTGAAATCTGTTTTGATCTTTTATTATTTAAAAAATTGCGAGTTTTCATAAATCTCCTCTTCTGAATCTGTGGGGAGTATGAATAGGAGCAGCAGGAGTGATCCCATGATAGGTTTTTCATTAAAATGTCCCTTCTGAACTGAATGGAGCAACTCTGTGCGAAGGATGGTTTTCACAAGAAAAACAGCTCAGGTGCAAAGGGTTAAAATTCTTTCTCTCGTGCAGTAGTACATAAATGTGGAAGCCAACTGAAATGTAATGCTTGACCAAAGGAAAATAATTACATTTTAGCTGGCATTTCCCTTTAAATGGAATGTCTTTCACTGTTTATTCTAAGCAGTATAATATTTACGTGCCACTATGGTTACTGTAGTAAACAAATGCATAAAACAGATTGTGGTGCCCAAGCCTCCCTAAGGAGCTCTTAGCACTCGGTCAGAGAGTTCCACAGGCCACTTACCTACCACCTGTGCACTGAGGCAAGTCCCAAGACCTCAGCAGTGAGTAGCGTAAGCCCCTTGAACAAGTCTGACCTTAAAAGAACACTTTACTTTTACCCAGCACTTTGCAAGTACAGACACATAGGCTTTGTGATTCCACAAGAGCTCAGTTAGGTGGGACTGTTAAAAGATAGCTAGTTTGTGACCCTCTCCACTCCCTGGATTTAGCCAGACCCTGCTGTTCAAGAGACCAGTCCTTTGTAAGAATTTTTATAATTATTTTTTATTAGAAAAATAGTTCCATAAAATCAGTTTACAGTGGTGCCTCAACTTACAACCATTTCGAGTTACGCAACAGCTCCAGCCGCAAAATTTAGCTTCGACTTGCAGCTGGAGCTTCGAGATACGAACAGAAAAATGCAGGGGAAAATGCAGGGGTTCGACTTGCAGCTGGAGCTTTGAGTTACAAACAGAAAAATGCAGGGAAAAATGCAGGGAATTCAAATTGCTAACCGTTGGTAGGCGAAGAGGCTGCTTCTTTGTAGCGCTTTCGCCACAACGGCTGGAGTCAGTACAATCGGAGGAGGCTTCAGACTGCCTCGTAAGGTAAGGTGCTGCTTTCTGCTTTTTAAAAACTGTTCTGGGTGGGTTTCGCAGTGTGGTTTTGGGCTGGGTGGTGGGATTATGTTTCTATGCTGTGATGGATCTTGCAGGGTTTGTTTGTTTTTGTTGTTGTTTTTTTCCCCATTTCCAATGGGTTTTGCAGGCTTTGGTTGCTTTTTGGATTCCCCCCATTTCTGATGGGTCTTGCAGGCTTTGGTTGTTTTTTGCTTTGCTTTTTTGCATTTCCGATGGGTCTTGCACGCTTTGCTTGCTTTTTGTTTTGCTTTTTCCCCATTTCCGATGGGTCCTGCACACTTTGCTTACTTTCTGCTTTGCTTTTTGCATTTCCAATGGGTCTTGCATGCTTTGCTTGCGTTTTGCTTTGCTTTTTTGCATTTCCGATTAGTCTTGCATGGTTTGCTTGCTTTTTTCTTTTCTTCCCCCCATTTCAAATGGTTCTTGCATGCTTTACTTGCTTTCTGCTTTCCTTTTTTTTGAATTTCCGATGGGTCTTGCATGGTTTGCTTGCTTTTCTCCCCCCCCCCTTCAGCCAGAACAGATGAATTGCATTTCCAATGGGTCTTGCAGTGTCTGGGGATTTTTGGTGGGGGTTTTTTGGTGATTTTTTTTCTTCGGCCGGAACGGATTAATTGCATTTCAGTGCATTCCTATGGGAAATGGTGCTTCGACTTACGACCATTTCGAGTTATGACCGGAGTTACGGAACCAATTAAGTTTGTAAGTCGAGGCACCACTGTATATTGCTCAAGCTTTAGCGTAAAGAACATATTCAAAGATTGTTACAGTTAAATAAAATAACTAATCCCCATTAAAATAAAAACACTACTAAGCTGGGCTAAGGTGGGCTAGCCCCACCTCCTTCTTTCTCTTCACTTACATTCTTTCCCCTTCAAGCCACATGCTCAAACCATCAAGTTCTTTTTCTCTCCCATCATCATGGAATTGAACTTCTCCCACATAACCCATCGTCCATTTTCTACATTCTCTAACTCCTCCCTTCTTCTTGACACTTCATGGCTGTTAACCAATTAGCCTCAAGAGGCTGTAACACCTTCCTCCACCCTCAATTCCCATGAAGATCCAGGTGTTTTATCTCTTCTCCAATTAGCTCGGAATGTTGAGTCTTTCACGGGCCTCTTTGTCCAACTCTTTGTCCAACCTTTCTCTTGCCGGTTTTCAGAAAAATACTCTCATAGTACTTAGAAAAACAGATTCCAATATCTCTCAAATCATCTCCACACAGAACCTGTCTGACTCCATCTTACATTTCTCTGACTACATATCCCACTCTACTTCAACTCCATCACACAGATTTTCCACCCTTTGATCAAGAAAAATAATCATGAGCTTTAGCAGCATCAATAGATAACGCATTTAAACTCTCTGCTTTGGACTCTAGCATGGAGTAATCAGCACTGTGTTGGAATACACTGTGGAAAGAACAGATATGCATTCATTCATTTTGCCAGTGAGTGAAATTTTTTCACACGGCTGCTGTAGTTTTCAGTATAAGGTTCTGGTGTGTAACACTTAGTCCTTCAGAAATGAGCTGATTGTTATTCCTTGTATGCCCCTGTAATGCCACTTCTTTCTCTTCCCTCATAGCCAAATTTGAAACATTGGGTTTTTTTTAAAAGATTCTTGATAGGAAGATTACCTTGATGGGAACAAGCTAACAGAGTGCTAGTAGAGACAGTTACTGTAAATACATCTTTAAACTTTATTTTCTATTTTGCTTTGAAGTCTAAAATGCCAAATGGAGGAAAGAAAGCAGGATCAGTACCACAGCAGCCTTGCTGGGCTGGGATTTTCTTTTTGTTGTCAACCTCCTCATCAGTTCCACTCTCACCATCCCATCAGCTTCCGTAATGCAAATAGCAATGTAGGATGCATGGGAGATCTGTGTACATCACAACCATGGCAAGGTGAAAATCCTTCACTGCTTCACTTTGCAGCCCTGATTCTACTTAGTGGGAGGAGGCACACTAATTATTTGCACCTCAGAATAAAGCCTGTGTATGAAATACAAACTGAAGAATTGCTGCTCCCCCCAATAAGCACAATGAATAAGCCCCTAATATTTTCAAGAAAACATTTTCAAGAAAGCCTATCAGACTGTTTCATTTTTTTCAGCTATGTATATTTGAGAGTATGAATATACTTCATTTAAAAGTGACCTGCTCAGTCTAATGTTCTGCATATAAGCTAACTACTGTCTGCTGTCTTATGAAAACATTTAGCTAGTCCTAAGGCTTACTGTACTTAGTTCCTTTAGAGCAAGACAAGCTTGAACTGTTGCTTAGGAAGGCTGGTTCTTCAAGAATGCCTGATTAATATAACATTTCTGTTCAATGAACCGTGTATCCTTCTGAGGCAAAAATCACATACTTGAACTGAATGGAAAAACATATCTGGCTGTGCTTAGTAGAATATATGTGTGTGGTTTGCTTGTGTTTGTGTAAGTAATAAGGCACAATCCTGCCAAAATCAAGTATTTCAAAGTCATGCTGATTGTGAGAGAAGAGTTAAGCTTTTTTACTTATTTATAAAATATAATCTCTCTAACTGTAATAAATAGAAACTTTAAAATATTTAACTACTGCTGGACTGGGTACACTATTTAAGCAATTGGAATACATGTTGAGTGATTCAGGAGTACACCTAGAACACATTAATTAGTTACATATGAAACTAATTAGTTTGCTGTCTAGAGTTTTCTATTTTCTCTCTCAGCCACTCCACTTATATTTTCCAAACTTTAACTTAGAGCTAGGCAGTATGACCCACTAAAGTGACAGCCCAATTAAAAGATCCCTAAATTAAATACTTTTTTCCTATATTGTATATTTTTGCATGATTGCATATAAGAGATACAATACAATGTTCGAAAAATATTGCAGAAAGGCTCTCCAATCCTACCTCCTTTTTGTTTGTTAAGTGGTAAAAAGTGAAATATTCCCAGTATTATTTCAGGACATAACATTTTGCATCCAAGGGATATTGATCCAAGTGACACTTTGTGAATTGTGAATTGGTTATATCACAACCTTGTTCAAGCTTCATATTGTTAGCCAGATCCAAGATTCATAGAGTCAGTTACTTTGGGCAAACTATGTGGACCAAAATTTCTACCAAAAAAGCACATTCATGTGTATGTATTTGAAGAGTTATTTCAGGAGGCACTGCATCTGGACAGAATATTAAGGTTATGAGTAGAAAGAGCACAAGTATATGACTGGTTTCATATCAATGTAGGAATACTTATTATCTCTGTGTTATTGTTTCCCTGTTCAGTATCTTAGGTTCCCTGCACACCTTCTAGTCTGTCTGTTTTTCCTTATATAAACTCCAATGATATGTCTTTACAGTGTTGCACACCCAAGGCCCTGTAGATGGCAGCCTCTATGCTAAAGTGAGGAAGAAAAGCTCTTCTGATACCAGCATTCTGAGTGGACCTCAAGGTGTTATAACCAGCAGTCCTGACCACAGTGACCACACCTTGTCTGTTAGCAGTGATTCAGGACACTCTACAGCTTCTATAAGAACAGACAAGACTGAAGAGCACCCTCCTCCAGGAGCAAAGAGGATTTTGAGCCCCCAAGAGAAGGAGGAGCTGGATCAGTTGCTGAGTGGCTTTGGCCTGAAGAATTCTGCCAGTCCTCTCAAGGATATGACTGATGCCCAAAGCAAGTATGGTGGAGCTCACCATGTAGTGCCAGTTCAAGTCCATGTAAATGGAGACATCAAGCATGGGGATAGAGAAACAGATATTCTAGATGACGAGATACCCAGCCATGACCTTCATAGTGTGGACAGCATTGGAACTTTATCATCCTCTGAAGGGCAGCATTCCAACCCTCTTGGGAACTTCAGCTGCCACAAGAGCAGTCAAAACTCTCTCCTGTCTGATGGTTTTGGGAGCAATACTGGGGAGGAACACCATAACACTTTGGTCCCGGATCTGGGAATTAGTGTAGACCCAATGTATGAGAGGCCCTTTGGAAGTGTTGAGTCAAGGCAGTCACAGCAACTGTTGAGGAATCCAGCTGTTGTCTCCACCCAGCCACACACCTACAGCCCCAGTACCTATTCAACCCAGACATGGGTGCAACAACAACAAATGGTCATCGCTCACCAGTATGCCTACTCTCCAGAGAATGAAGTTCAGCTTGGTGTTCATGGTACGGTTGAGGACATGGGCAACTTGCAGAGCCCAGCCACAGTTCCAGATACTCCAGCAAGGGGATCTAGCAGCAGAGATGCTGTTCAGAGAGGGCTTGGGAATATGCCATCTTGCAGCAAAGTAACAGACAACTCTATATCTGAAGAGTTTAAATCAAGATTAGTCTGTGAAAAGAGTATAAATGATCTTGACCTGCAGGTGAATACAGGAAACAAGGCAAGATGCTTACCATCATCACCTACCCTGGATATTGATCAGTCAATTGAGCAGCTGAACAGACTGATTTTGGAACTGGACCCAACGTTTGAGCCTATCCCCACTCGTATCAGCAGAGATACAAGCCAGCTGAATGGCTTTACTGGTGCAGAAATACACGTAGGAGGATTGGAGAAGAACTCTGGATTTCATGGGAAAACAGAGGTCATTGACAGGAGTCTGTTCCAGCAGGGTGAGTTATTTTTTAATAATAAATGAATTAAATATGCTTCCACCGAAAGCTTGAAGTTTTCATTTGATATTTAACGGTATGAATCTGTTAAATGATCGTTACTGAAAAACGGAGTATATGTGACTTCACAGAGCTGTGGAATGTTGGGGTGGAACAAAAAATCATACATCTTTCTAACATTTTCTCCACCAGTCCTATAAAATAATTTCAGTTTACCAGACTGTTTTGTGTGTTTTGTTATATTATGTACTGACTTGCAGAGATAATGAATTCCAAAGTCAGTTCACTGTCTCATTTCATTTCTTTCACTGCTAGGAAAATGGTACTGGGAAAGGGCAAAAGGATATAGAAGATCTGTCAAGCAATGTTGTTTTTCAAGGAAAGGAGAAATGTATATGATGGCTGTGATGTATGTTTGAGGTTCAGATTTGAGAGATGTGTTCAGGAAGGTTCACTTACTCAGTCTGAGTAAAGGTTGGATGTGGTTATGCATGAAAACCTTCCAGAGTTGTACCCATATTAGAATTGTCAGCAACCTTGTTTTAATGGTAGTTGCATTACAATGGCACTTAGAGTTAAATGGGCAACTCTTCTGATACTCATCTGACTGGACAACTCTCTTGATGATGTGGAGGTAAGCTGTGTGATTCAACCAATCTGTTCTATAGAAATCAAATCTTTATCTGTTTGCCTCCTCAAACAAGGAATGAAGGTGATCCAAATAGCCACACATTCTGCTATGTAGTGGAGGTGTGACCCTTCTGCATCTTCACTCCACCATGACAAGAGAAGTACACAGCTAAGTACACATATGTGTGTACTTAGTCTTGTGAAGTTTGGCATTGCTTAGAATAAATCTTAACTGTTGATAATATTTCAAGAATTTTGCGTTATAGCACCAAATTGATGTTGAGTGTCCTTGTTTTGAAGGGAAATCCATGTTCTCTAAATTATAGGGTGGGGTGGCTTGCAGTAACTTCATGATTGTACTCCCTTACCTCATTTAAAACAGAACAGATACAGGATGGTATGCAGTGTGTTTGGTGTGCAGTGTCCTAGAAAAATACTTGCTGAGCTTTGAAAATCAAAATTTAAGGGCTTATAAAATCTGAAAACAAGTGAGTTTAAATTATTTGAGGAAGATACCAACGTATGGAGATTAAAAAGGCAAGAGGTGTATTTCACTGTGAATTCTCCAGAGTACTACACATTGCAGCCAGCTATTACAAGAGAAGACCCTTCTATGAAACTGAAACAGTGTTTTACTTTAAAAATAATTTTTAAAAAGAGACATGACAGTGTGGTCCAAGTGCAGAATCCAAAAATGGGATGAGGAATGTCTTTATCAGATCTCCAAGATTATGATTTTTGGATCTTTTTATTTCTCTTCCACCCCCCAATGTTCTTCAAAGCTCAGTATTATGCAGAGTCCAGCCCCCAAGCTTACCTGTTCATAATATTTCAGGGGTTCAATAAAGGCACTATGTAAGTGGATGTTTTCTTTGCTAAAATGTGCCAAGGGAAGATGGCAGAGAAGTAAAATATCTTCAAGCATGTGTACCTCTGATTATCCTCATCCTCCTTTGTTAATCTTTTTTAAGTGTTCCAGTTTTTATACTCTTATTCTGCTTTAGGCATTTAGGAAACAATGGCTGAACTCCTGTTCATAGCATAAGCAAAACTGTATTTTTCTGTCCACTCATTCCTTATAAATAAATTCCATTTCAGCGAATGCGGTTCAGTAGCTGATCCAGTCACCATCTCTTAGCCTAATCTACACTCAGTGTTGTTGTGAGAGTAAGAACAGAATAATTTAAATCTATTTTCCGTAAGCTCTTAACATAACAGTTGACATACACATTAAGGGAAAAGAAGCTGTGTTAAAATATCAGGTTAAAAAATGTGAGGCTCCTGTGAAGGAAATGAAGATTACATCTAAAGATTTTTATTCATTTAGCTCTCATAATAAAGTTTCTTCACCTGTCAGATTTTTCTACATCATTAGAATCTTAGATTATCTCCTGATGTCACTCCAACGGTTCAAATTTAAAGTACAGTATAAGACTGTGATGTCAATAGGACTCAGGCACATCCACTTTTGCTTAACTATAGTTTTCTGTGTCGTCCTAACTGACAAATGGTGAACAGTTTTTACTGTAGATTGATGCAAACC